GAAAAACAGACCTGGTCTGTTGCTCAGTGGTCCAAAGTCCTCTTTTCTGATGAGAGCAAATTTTGCATCTCATTTGGAAACCAAGGACCCAGAGTATGGAGGAAGAATGGAGAGGCACACACTGCAAGATGCTTGAAGTCCAGTGTGAAGTTTCCACAGTCTGTGTTAATTTGGGGAGCCATGTCATTTGCTGGTGTTGGTCCACTGCGCTTCATTAAGTCCAGGGTCTACGCAGCCGCCTACCAGGAGATTTTGGAGCACTTCATGCTTCCTTCCACAGACGAGCTCTATGGGGATGCTGACTTCATTTTTTAATTAGAATATCGTGCAAAAGTAATTGCAGTAAGTGCTGCAAAAGGGGCCCAAACCAAGTACTGAGTACATATGCATGCTTGTACTTTTCAGAGGTCCGATATTATTCTATGTACAATACTTGTTTTATTGATTGCATGTAATATTCAAATTTTCTGAGATTGTGAATTTGGGGTTTTCATGAGCTGTAAGCCATAATCATCACAATGATGACAAATCACGGCTTGAACTATCTTGCTTGGCATGTAATGAGTCTATCTCATATATTAGTTTCACCTTTAAGTTGCATTAATGAAATAAATGAACTTTGCACGATATTCTAATTATTCGAGTTTCACCTGTAGGTGCATGTGCAATACCCTAAGTAGGTGCATGTGCAATACCCTAAGTAGGTGCATGTGCAATACCCTAAATAGGTGCATGTCCAATACCCTAAATAGGTGCATGTGCTTTTCTCTAATGCAGCACACTACAGTGTATGGTAGTGCGTTACCGTAGGTTGTATGCGCTGCAAAGCATGTCCTTTGGCAAGCAACGTTGAGGAGCCACTAAAAATGAATGGCATCGCAGTGCAGCAATGTGCAAAGCATCCAACATGCGTTACTGCAGCACAACAGTGTGATCCCAGTTTTAGACAGTTAGGGCTGAAACACATAGGGGGAAAAGCTGTGTTGTGGTAACGTGCTGGTTTCTCCAACACATGTCATGTGCCTTGCAGTGCCCATCACTCTCTATGGCACCCCAACACAGTAAGGTGCACATTAACACACTACTATGCGTTGTGGTTTACTGTGTCAGAAAAAAATTGGATAGTTCCTGTGACTTCTTTTTTGAATGTGCTGCCTCAGTGTCAATGTGTAACACCACGTCAACATGACAACCCCCCCAAAAACAGCCAAAACTTGTTTGGTTTTTAGATAAAGTAAGGAGGGATTGGAACCCCAGTTTGGGTTTTTAATGCCATTCAGGAATTTTCTTCTCACTTACTGTCTTAGTGAAAAACAGGTTCACCAGACAGGAAATCTCCATCAACAACACAGACAGAAAAATAAATCTTCTTTTTCATTCAAGTTGGGGAGGCTGGAACCCCTGTCAGTTTCTAGTAGCTGTCTGTGTCCCTGAAAATATTTTCCTTCACTTCACTGTTTGGTAAAAACAGGGGAGGGTAACTCCAGCTGTTGTGGTACTACAAGTCCCATGAGGCATTGCAAGGCTGACAGTCACAGGCGTGACCAGACATCCCACCTCTCCCGGGCGTCTCCCACTATTAGCTATTAGAATAAACCTTTCCCTGTATTTTATGGAGGTTATTTACCTGTAAAAGCCTCCTTTTGTAGGCATCCGAAAGACCTGAGACTCCTGCTTGGTGCTGCCATCTTGGCTGTGATGTCAGCAGGCTCAGAGCTGTCACTTTATAGTGTTCCCAGCTACATAAAGGGTTATGTGAGGGGTGGTGGAGCTGGGCCAGCATATACACTAATTAGACTCTCCCCATAGAGGAGAGGGCTATGATGTCCAAGCAGGGAGGCTGTGCTAGTAGGTAACTGATTCTGCGGAAGTTGTCAAATTTGCTGCCAAGTTCAAAGGCACATTGCAAGTGCATAAACAATATTTTGGAAAGGAAAATGCTGCAAGTAAGCATTTCAGATACGTGATTTTTCTGTGTTTCTACAATGTTTTTAAAGTTAGTAACAGGATCTGTTTAAGCAGTTACATCCCTGGGAATTTCTTAGCATATGAAATGATATGGTATCTGTGGTTCTGTTGGATGTTTGGACATGTGGTTGTAACCTCTGCTTATGGCTTTTCATTATGTGCTCAGTTGGAAGTGTCCAGGTTTGTGGCAGGTGTTCTATAAAGCATATAGCTGTATAAAAGAAAGCTTTGGAAGTGAAGAATTGTTAGATCCTTGGATTTTAATGTTGTGTGTGGTCCTGCTGGGGAGATTTACTGTCTGTTTGTTCTGGTGACCATTGTGATCAGTACAGAAATTGATAGGAAATTGTCAAAGGAACAAGGAGGTCAGTGAAAATCTTCCTCTTGTGACAACCATCTAAGACGGGATTTCCTCTCTCGTTGGAAATACTTCCTGTTGTGACTCTAGGTACCAGTACCAGTGCACCATGGGCTACTTCCTGAAAGACATGGGTTCTAATCCCAATGTCAGCTCTCACAGGCGAAGGTGCCACAATTTGCAGGATAAAGCTGATATAAAAACGCACAAAATAATGCAGCTCTCTAATCATTCAAATTAGTTTTGTAAATGCGGGCACTGTAAGTAGCTTAATTTGTGCTGGAAACAGCTTATTGCAGTACCTGTACAGCAGGGCTGGAGTGCGAGAGGAAGAAGCAGCACAAGGCGTCAAATAGTTTGTGGCAAGAAGCATGCTGATAGAACGAGAAAACAAGAGTGTCAGAGAGATGAGCTTATCACTGTGCTGCTTCTTCTTTGACTGTCCAGTCACAGGCTGGATGATATGGGTTGAACGATGCTGCCCATCAGAGTGAGGAAGCCTAGGGGCAGAAAAAAGTACTGCGGGGAAATATGTGGATTGAAGGTGAATATTGCAGGAAATGTTGGTCTTGTTACTTTGGGGCTTATTCACAAAGATGCCGAAGGCACCCGAGTGAATAGCCGAGCCGAATTGAAGTGAGCCGAAGTAATAACTACGTTCGGCTATTCACTCCGGTTCAATGCGGCTGATTTCAGCCGTACATCAGCTGCTCTGCATTTTCAGCTGAGCCGAAGTGCAGTGGGACTTCGACTCAACACATCCAACATCTGTATTGGCTGAGCCGAAGCTCCAGCAGCTCACTCTCTGCCGTTCGCCCCTATTCTCATAGGGGCCATACGGCAGTGAGTGAATAGCCGATTGCCGCCGGCTATTCTGCTTGGTACCTCCGAGGTACCGAGCAGAATAGAAAATACGTGAAAAAAAAATATATATTTAAAATGTAAATAAATGTGAAAAAAATATATTTTTAAGAAGAAAAAAAACCAATTGGGCGGAGACTTGTAGCAGGCCCCGGCCAATGAACAACTGGGCGGAGCCAGCCATGAGATCACGGCTGGCTCCACCCAGCTGTCATTTGCGTCACGGCCTTCGGCAGGCCGTTCGCCCCGCTTTGGCTCAGTCGAGCAGAAGCATATGCCTTGGGCTTGGCTGAGCCGCTCGGCTGCCTTCCAATACTGTACGGGCTATTGTGAATAACCTGTACAGCAGCCCTTCGGTTTGACTGAACCGAACGGCTCCGGCGGCCGAAGGATCAGCCGAAGCTACGGGGTGGATCCTTCGGCTCAATAGTGAATAACCCTGTTTATCTTATAATTGGCTTTTCATTTTTATGTTATTTTTGGCTGGAGTTCTGCTTTAAGTATCCTGAAGGCCAGTATAGCCATAGGAGACTTCCTGTTGGATGTTATCCTAGCATTGGCTTTACATACACTTTAAGATCAATTTGTCACCCCAAAAGAAATCGAGAAGGCCAAGAATATATTATCTGTCTTCAGAAGCATGAACCTTTCCTTTATAAGAGAAGTCCAGCTGCTTTGTACAGTTAATTAGCACTAATACTCAATAATGACTCGAGATTCATGACGTTATGAGTGTATATAAGACTCAGTATTGCATTGGCTTTGTTTCTAGGAATGGGAACTGGTGGTCTTAGGAAAATTGAAGTGGAACCTTGCTGCTGTGACACCTCACGACTTTCTTGAACACATATTACGGAAGCTGCCTTTACCTAAAGAAAAGTTGCTTATGGTCCGAAAACATGCACAGACCTTTATTGCACTCTGTGCCACAGGTGAGTCCCATCCGTTTATACATGGCGTCATTCTGTTTCCTTATAACAATGTATTTGCTGGACATCTATTTATTATTTCTTTTTTATTTACTTTTTGTGATCATTTTTCACCTTCAAATCTAATTTTAAAGTAGAACTGAAGTTTTGGATAGAGTAAGGGAGGGTAAGCTTTTTTTTTTTTGTCAGCTTTTTTTTTTTGCCATTTGCATCCCATTGGGAAGATTTCTCTTCACTTCCTGTCCGATTTCCACAACAGGAAGTAAGAGGGAATCCCTCCAAGGTGAGGAAAATCTGTGACTGTCAGCAGAGTCACCAGAACTAGTGTCCACATTACAAGATTTTCCATCTGTTCCTTTTCTGATGACAACCCAAACTTGGGATTTTTTACAGTGATACCAGTCACCAGGACATATAGAGAGGATGAATCTCCCTAACAGGACACAGACAGCAATTTAAACCTGACGGGGGATTTATCCCTCTCCACTCTATCCAAAACTAAACAAAAAGTTTTGGCTTCAGTTATTACTATTATTATACAGGATTTATATAGCGCCAACAGTTTGCGCAGCGCTTTACAATATAAGGAAGACATTACAGTTGCACTTACAGTCATGCAGAATTATTAAATGCATATTTAAATGTAATTTTATATGCAAGTAGCAGAAGTACCTGAATTTGTTTTTATATTGGCCTCCTGCATTCCCCTGCAGGACTACAGACATAGCGGAGGCGTTTTCCATATCTTTAACACATCCGCTGATTCCGCACCTTTGTGGCTATTACTATAGCTGGAACCAGCCCAGAAAATCACGCTTGGACTTTTTTGCAGGATGCTTGTTTTCGTACCGCGCGGACGCTGCCCAAGTGGAAACATTGTACATTGGACTTAATTATTTTTCATGTTTAGCACGTTTATCGTGGAAAACCGCTAATGTTTGAACGGAGCCTCAAAGTGAGAGGTGGAGGGACATCAATAGGGCATATCAGCCATTACTGCACATGTGCTGAGCGTCCTGCTGCTCCATCATTGGTAATTCAGGCTGAGGGTGTGGTCTTGACCAGGCTGAACTTTTGCTGCAGTGAAGGTCCAGAGCCTGGTCATGATCTAGATCTCTCTGCATAGCACTGCTTGTCAGCTTTAAAGGGGATCTTTCACTGCCTTGTATATCTAGTACACATCTTGAGTTATTGTAGTAATGACGCCATTTTTATGTGACTTTTTACATGCATGCTGATAGTTTTATGGCTGTATTTCATTTACAAAATACAGATTATATCTCTGGTGACTATCTGTATGTTATGGAATGTGATCAGCATTCCTACTAAAAGACTTATGAGATAAAATCAATAGAAATGCAAAATGTCTGTACTTCCTTTATCAGACTGACCCAACCCAACCAGCATTTACAGAGAAAATGATAGCAAAGTATGGTCATGGTGTCATATTATAGTCATTGTGTCATATTATTAATCAGAATCTGCATAAGAAGCAAATAAGTCTGACCACATGTATGTCTAACATTACAATTCATGACTAGGAGTAGTGTGTTTATAAGACACTTTGGTGATTATATACAAGAAGCTGGTCCACTTGACATGATTTTGTTATACCATTATTGCACAGAAATAATGTTTCACATGTACACTGATCTACAAATGTTTGCTTTAATCTATAATGTCATCTGGTCATTGGTTGGATGATTACACAGGGATATAATCAAGTTAGCCATAGAAATTGAAGTGTATGTAAATCCTAAAAATGCATTTTCCTTCCCTCTGGTCTGTCAAATATACAGATGACGTTTTCTATAGGTAACGCTTTCAAAGCCTTTACAGCAAGCTCACAGTTCTATTAACCCTTTGACATAATTGTCAAGGGTTAACGTGTACATACAAGCAAGATTTTGTTTTGGATAGAGTAGGAAAGGGTTAAAAGCCACTTTCAATTTATGTTTATGTTTTATTGACTGGGACCTGTTGGGGAGATTTCCCTTCACTTTAGATCCGAAAGGTGAAGCTGGAAGCAAGAATAAAATCTGTCCAATAGAAGGAAATTTCCCCTTTCTGTCCAAAAGGAGGACATTTCCCCTTTTAGACAGTTGTCTCCAGAACACATGTCCCCCTCATCTCCTTTTTGTAGCGACAACTGTAAAATTTTGGATTTCTCGCCACTTTCTGTCTCTATGAAAATGGCCCCCAGGGCATATAAAGGGGTGAATCTCCCAAGTGGGGCACAGACAGCCATAAAAACTTCACAGGGGTTCTAAAAGCTTCCTTACTCTATACAATATTAAAAAAACACTTATAAAAACACTTTATTGTCCAGGGGCACCTTCAGAAATGCCTCAGTGCCTCAAGACAACAGAGTAGATGAGTTAAGTAATAGTTTATGAGAATGGATAGGTGTGGCAGTCAAACTGTGCATTTTTCTGTACCACACCTAGAGCTTTAATCCACAGCTCAGGATTGCTCCTCCACACACTTTAACTGTTCTGTTCTTAAACTGAGGAAACTACGTTGCCTTTCAAGACATGGGGGGGGGTCCGGGTAACTAGCTGGAGCTCCAGAATTAAGAATAATTTCCTGGTGGGCTCTGCTAATGGGAGCATATCTCCATTGGGCACAATGGATACTTAACTAGCAAGACTAAGGAACAAGATATGTAATCAGTACTATCTAAAGAATCCTTCCTCAACCTTTGAACCCTTGAAATGATTTTTAGGTCTCAGGGAAACCCTGATAATAACTACTGTATCTACAGCTTGACGTTCATAAGCGCAAACTGTAAGTTAAAATATAAGTAAAAGAATATGAAATATGGCATACTAAGCGTATTTGACATGCAGCACATTATTTTCAGCAATAATAATCAAAGTGGTGGTCAATGGGATAAATAACCTTATACATTGGTGGTCAGTGAGAAGAATGGTGTGCATAGTAACTATATGGTGAGAGCAGGAATCCCCCTCATGTTTTGGGTTTTTTTTGACATTGGGAAGAATGCCCCATATATTGGTGATCCATGGAAAGAAATATCCTTAGATTGCTGGTCATTGGAAAGAATGCCCCATACAATGGTGGGCAATGGGAGGAATTTCTTTCTACATTGGTGATCAGTGGGAAGAATGCTTCTTACATTGGTGGTCATTGGGAAGAATGCTTCTTACGTTGGTGGTCATTGGGAAGAATGCCCCATGATGGTTAGAGGCAAGAATGTTCCATTCAATGATGGTTAGAGGCAAGAATGCCCCATACATTTGTGCTCAATGGGAAGAATTTCTTCCTACATTGGTGATCAGTGGGAAGAATGCCCCATACATTTGTGGTCAATGGGAAGAATTTCTTCCTACATTGGTGATCAGTGGGAAGAATGCTTCTTACATTGGTGGTCATTGGGAAGAATGCTTCTTACATTCATGGTCAATGGGAAGAATGACCCATGCATTTGTGGCCATTGGGAAGAATGTTCCTTACATTCATGGTCAATGGGAAGAATGCCTCATACATTTGTGGTCATTAGGAAGAATTCCTTCTTACATTGGTGGTCATTGGGAAGAATGCTCCTTACATTCGTGGTCAGTGGGAAGAATGCCCCCTACTTTTGTGGTCATTGGAAAGACTGTCCCCCTTACAAATTACTAAAAACACCAAGGCACATTTGCTAATGCATTGCTGGGCTAAAGTGTGAATGGGTCCTTAAACATATAGACTGAGTGTCCCCCTATGCTTTAAGTTTGAACATTCTGTGATCACACGATAGTCATTGGTACTACATGCTACTCATATAGTTTACATTATAGGGAACCATTGATCCATTTATTTATTTTTAGCAATCCATCACTATATTAGCAATTAAAGTGTATGTACATCCAAAAATAAAAATCCAATATATTTCAGGTTACCAGTCCTCAGATGTAGGAGCTATATTAGTCTTCTCTTTTCAGCATAAGTACATTTTCTGCAAGTACAAAAATATTGTATATCTTAAAATATGTTATCAGCTTTCACAGTTCTTTTCTGTAAACTGCAGAACACCTTACTCCATGTTGTCAAGATGAGAGGAGGTGTGTCCTGTAGTCTAAATCAATGAACAACCTAAGATGAAAACAATGCTACTTAATAGAAACAGTGCATCGAATGAGTGTTGTCACCCTAGAACAGGAAGTGTGGTACTGGAAAGATCACCAGGTAAAAATAAGAGAGTGAAAGGTCTGAAAAAAACAACTAATGCATCCACCACATCTAAGGACTGGTAAGCTGTATTACATTTTTGTTCCTGGGTTTAGCTATGCTTCTATCACTCGTGATTACAGTAGCATGACTGAGATACTTAAAATGTAGCTCTATCCTGATTGGGTAAGGGGAAACTGAGAAAATGCTGCTTGCTTCCTGCAGCACACTGATAACATCATTATGCTTCAAGAACTGTAATTGATAAAAGGTGGAGCTCTTTTTTCTTCAATATCGCTGTATCTTGTGACTTGCCAGAAAATGAATCGGGAACAATTATGTTGCAGAAACTGTTCTCTCCTTTTCAGTCTATGGTTTTATGCAGACAGCGCTTGTATTTCCCTTTTTATGGTAACCCAGTAGAGCTCTTGAAAAGGCGTTGCAATTGCCACGAGGCTGTAAAGATGCATTTATGTGTGTATGAAGTGCAGGATGAATGTTACACTTTGGTCAAAGTCTAAATACGTACATTTGCTACCTTAGTTCAGAGAAACTTAGACCACATTTTTGAGTCTGCAAGCCGTAGCGAGCATGTTGTACCACATGTTATACTTTTAGATCACTAGAATAAGAAAATGCTCTATTTTAGGTATTTGAATTCCAGGCAAGCCTAACTTTCCACCAAAACTCACCTGATCTAGCTGGAATATGGACTATATTTTTAACAGAGTTATTTTTATTGCTGCTGTATGTTTATAGTAGTGATATCTTCTTAGAGCTGCCATTTATTTGCATTCAGGGTGGTGCATTTGCAGAATGCCTTTGCTTAG